TGGCTGAAATCAATTGGTGATAACATAGATTGAAGAGAGGCTCGAGTCCGCACGTAGGATTTGTTTTCTATTTTTCATGACGTCATATGAGGTCCCAAGAGCAGTACCCGGTATGAAAGGACAAAAAGATTGCTTTCACTTTTTCACGGCGGTCTAAAAGCTATCTGAAAAGAAAGCTTGTCGATCTGATTTGGTCAGAATACGTATACTTGTATTCTCGTTGTAGACTTCCACGTCGCGAATTGTTTACTTCTGGTTTCCCCGAATGAGGTCGAATGAATCAGCCGTCGCTCCAAGTCGCTCAAACGTCGATGATATTCAATGCATGGCTTCCTTTTTCTTGTTCAAACTTTGAGGAGTGTCGTTGATTTCCACTAACAACATTATCGTACAAGCTGTAAATCGATCTAAAGATCAGAGCGAGCCAGTTTCGTTCTTTATTTTAAAGTAGTTTGTAATCGAGGCCGTCAAGACTTTCAAGGCAGCCTTCTAACTAAATATTGTGCAATCGCAGGGGCATACACCGCAATGAAACCATAGCTTACCTGGTCTTCTATTTACCACGGTGACCAAGAGAATGACACTTGAATCATAGCTTTGTTTGAATACAAAACGACTTGCTTTGGAGTGAACAGAACAGTTATACACAACAGACCTCAATAAAGAGTTTACAGTGCGAATGAACACGAACCGCGCGGCATGAGGGGAAGATGATTCGCTTCAGAAGTTTCGGGGTTTTTCCCTTTTTCTCAGAACAATGCCGTGTAACCGTGAAGTTTAACATCAAAGACTTCTGAATGATTGATGTAAATATAATTGTATTATTGTAGGCAGCCAGCACGACATCTTCAAATCACTTAAAACTAATAACCCTCTTCTACAACTCACTTAGTATCAGCATTTACAAAAACTCCCGAAGAAAATGCGCGAGCTGATTGGATAAAAACTGTGTTTATATTTAACAGTTAGATAATTCGCTCTCGATTTCTATCGCGTGACAGTTGACTAGGGCACAGCCCGAGTCAACTATCAGAATAAATCTACTAGTCGTTCAAAACTTTATCTAAATTCTCTTCACAAACACTTCGAAAACGCAAACAAGTGCTCTCCAGCGCACATCACTTGGCTTACTCATAGTCTACAACAGAATAGACAGTGAGTAGCGTAGCCACATTCGTAATAGAACGCTAGTAGACTTACACTAATTAAACAGATCTCTCTAAATGTAATGATGGCGCGAGCGAAATTAAGAGAATTTACATTTTGATGATCAAAGTAAACAAGTTGTTGTCTTTCCTTTTTTCATCGCAAAACTCGATAGAAACACGGCACGTGTTCTTTATTTCATAACTACAGAAAGACCAACTGGCCGACAGTTAGTCTACTAACTGTTCCACCAGTTTCAATCAGTGAATACTGCAAGCGAGAGTTGTATTATTCGTTCCGTTTAATATGGGAACCTGCATCGGGAATTATCAAAACAAGTCATACTCAGTAAAACAAATTTAACCAGAGATATAGCTGCCCAACCGTAATTCCCATTTCCATTTGTGACCCTGGCTTTAAAATGCTTGAGTCGTTTTGACACAGAGGCAAAATGCAATTCGGAAATGCCTGATCTTTGGTGCTGTTAGATGATGGATGCAATTTGACCAACCAATTGTTTCCATGCCCTACGCTTTAATAATTGGTTCCCAGAACGTTACACAGTTTGGAGTAGGTTAATTTTGTAAAACAAAATCAGATGGCAAGGTTCACTTATTATTAAATTTATCCACAGCCACACTAAACATTATTTTGTAATGAAACTCTTTATTTGACGTTTGAAGAGGAGTAATAATAATCTCATTTACAATCAACCTTTGCTAGCGTCTAAAACTTGATTTATAAGTACCTTGATAGACTAAACTGCTCTTGTTATTTAATTTACTATCGTCAGTCTATCGACTTATTTTGCGAATTTTCCAAAATATTCTTAAAGCTCTCCGCGGAGCAAAACTCAAAGAAAATATACACCACCTCAAATGACAAGAACTTGGAAGCTTTACCAAAAGGAGAAAAATATCATTTGCCTCGGGTTTAATAACAAATCAGTAGGAGATATCCAAAAATATCACGACCTCAGCGGATATACTCTCTTCACCGAGCGCCACATTGACCACGGTGTCTCTCATTGGTCAAAGTAACACAGGTGCTTTATTTTCCGCTCTTTGAGCCCTCGATGAACAAACTTAACAAAGCTAAGGAATCAAATGTGGCGTCCCAAGAAGAGGTGAACAAAATCACAAAATTGTGTAGTATTTTATTACTGAGTATTTTTTTTTTATTATTGAGGTCAATATAATTTGATTTCATCCACTGCAAAGTGCAATTTTATTTTTCGTTTCAAACAAGTTGCTGCAAAAAGGAAACTAAATGCTAAATTTAGCAAGACAAGATAAAGGAGCGTGTGAAGAGAAATTGATTGAAAAGTGCAAGTTGTCAATCTGACAGCTTTCCTAAAAGGTGTCAAGGTAAGGGTCATTGATCTTTACCATGCGATAATATAACGTTATTTCACAAATATGATTTTATCTGGCAATGATACTTATTTTAACTTATACTTATTTACCAAGTAGGCACCACTGAGACTTCTTTTTCGGACACCCGGTCTCATTTGCATGCAATTTTCATTACCAGTCTTCCCAGATTCAATCCATGTTGCTTTGTGTTTGCTTATTTATTTGGTTCAAAGGATATTCTCGAAAACGCAAAGAAAAGATTTAGTTTTCGCGAACATTCTTTTGAAATGTTTTTGTCTTCGAAGCAAGCAAAACTGCCACTGTCATTGGTCCTTGTTGCGCTATAACTGGTCCATGAAATTTAAAACAGAGCTCTAAAATTCCCAGACTTTATGCGGCGACTTTCGGTTGGGCTTGTCTGGAATGGTGCTAGCAGAACGGCCTGATCCGGAGCCAGAATCTTCTTCTTCCTCTTCTTCTTCATCTTCGTCTTCATCGCCTTGTTTTTTGGAGTTCTTTTGAGCCTTGACAGCCTCGCGGATGGCGTCTTCGTCATTTTCCTGCTCTTCTTCTTCGTCTTCAGTGCTGTTAGATTTAGCTTCCTTAAGTTCTTCAGCTATGGGAAAGATAAGCATAAATATACATCACGGACACGTTCCAAAATATTTCATCGAATTACTGATATTTTAACAGCAAAATCCCAAAACTCCAAAATCACAAGATCCAAAAAGCCAAAAATCCAAAAATCCAAAACCTTCAAGGATAGACCTTGGTTCTAGAGGTTTCTTCCTTCAAAAGACTTGCATTATTAATTGGGTTCAAATATGGTAGCGCTTTCTTGAAAGGAAGTTTGCGTTTCGAACTGCTAGGGATATATTGGTAGAACCTTGAATAGTGTGTTTTTGATGAGAATTTTCTAATATATACGTGAACGTTATCATAGTCAGGGGGTCTCAACGGGATTAACCGTCAATCGTCAAATGGCCAGAAAATTAACGGTCAACCATCAAAAACGCAGTATTTTTACCGTCAGTTGTCAAATGAGCAAGCCAATATTAGCCGTCAAATGTCTCAGATATCCTTAATTAGGAATTAAATGATTAACTTAACAGGGGTCAATTTATGCTGTTTATAAATGATCATTTTAATACATCACAAGAATAAAATTATGTACATGTCGTTTAACTTCTAAACTCGGGAACAGGTAATTAATACATCCATTAGTAACAAAGGGGGAGTAATTACGCTAATTAGACACATATTTGGATACCAAAACCCAGTTTTTATGCATAGGACTAACTGGATTATTTAAATATGGGCAAAACTGTATCCTTTCATGAAAAATTACAGCCAGATTTGCGCTTTGATTTCGTGTTATAAACGTCATTCCGAAAAATTAACCGTCAAATGACCTAAAATTTAACCGTCAACCGTCAAAACGGCTTAGTTTTAACCGTCCACCCGTCAAAGGAACCCTCCCCATTAAGAACCTCATAAGCCGTTCACCAAAGTCTCGGCTGAGCGTCCCACAGTAACATATAATACTATCTCCCAGTCCCCCTCTCTCATTTCCTGTTGGAAGAGGAGTGAGGCAGAGTTAGAGGTCTTATCATTTTACTCACCCAGGCTAACTTTCTTGCTGTGTTTTCGTACTTTGTTTTTCTTCAGCGTGTGATATTTCAGATGAGCCTTATGGTGTTTCTTGTGGTGGCTTACTACGCTTTCTTCATCTTCGTCGCTTTCTTCTTCTTCGTCTTCGTCTTCGGTTGCTTTAAAAATAAGAACAAAACATTGAAGGTAACAATGGTCACTACTGATTTGCTAGCGAAAATCTTGGCAATCCCAACATGCTAATTCATTGATAAGAAAATCTGATCAAATGTTACCCTAACTAGTTTACCAACAGTTTTGCTATTCTACAATCTCTCAAGAACACGGCATCTCTAAGCTTTAAATAAATCTTTCGGCCAGTTTACACATCTTGGTTAATTAACTCTTTTCAGTCCCTTTCATTCGGAAAATTTAAATTTGTCGATAACAGCCTAGGTAAAGCAGATTTCCTAAACGTGTTCATTAACGTACTTAGCTTCTTCTTGCAGAGGGAGTAGAACTTATCGTCGCAGTGGAATGTTGTCCATTGCCCATTCTGATCGGAAGCTATACAATCCATTTCTTGGTCAGCCCTCTCATCCTTGATGTAATCCATCTGTGGACTCATGGACTTGTATGTCAGGTTGCCTCCGTCACTCCACCGGAAGTCGCTCTCATTCTTCAAGTCGTTTAGACCAATCCAAGTGAAACTGGAATAATACCCAGAAAGTATGATGTTGTAAACCTGTGTTACTCTATTTAGAATAACTTATAGACCGGAACTCAGGAAAGAGATGGTCAAAAAAGTGCTCCCAATATTCCCCCTATCACCATCTCTACCCATCTCCCCCCCGTCTTTTATCTTTAAGAGTAAGCTATGATAACTAAGCTTGTATAGCGGATTATTAATTCAGTATCAAGTATTAAGATATGACCCCATATCGTTCTGGCTAAACCCTCTAAGGATAAGAGACAGGAGAGGTACTGGAAGAAATTGCAGATATTATGCGCAGAACGGTAATCAAGTTTTGTAGGTCTTAAGATGGCTAAGTTGCATTTCCTTCATTTGGCGTACGGTACCTTTTAGACAAATCCTCGAAAATATACTCAAAGAGTTTTCGACTTTTTTATTAAATCGGAAAAAGCGTTAAGACTACAAATCTCTTTCTAGGAATTTCCAGGTTCTTTGGGCAACAGAAGCGGTTGCATGCCTTAATGTCAATGAACTGCCTCATGGTACCTAGCAAGGTATCCCTCAAAACTGCAGGCTTACTTAATTTTTTTGTTTGGAAATGATATTCCAATCGTAATGGCAGTGGGAGTAGATTTTTTTACTTACAAACCCGACCAGAACGATCTAAGTAAAGGGAACATAATTATACCCGCATAGCTGAACTTGGTTCTTGACAAAGTCAGCCTCCTCTTCGCCCCTAATGGAGGCGAGATCGGCTCCATATTCAGCGCACTTGTCTCTGGCCGCATGCCAGGTGTTGAAGTCCGTCATCAACTTGAAACAGTACACTCCTTGGTCAGTTGAAAACCGTCTCCAAAACAGAGGACACACTGTGGAATGAATTAAGGATACCAAGTTTATATTTCAAGTATTTTGACTGTTTCTTTAACACAATCATTGAGACATACGCGCAGCATTCGAAGGGATGGTTGCCGGTGTAACATCGTCGGATATACGACGTCTTTCCTGTATTCTGATTGGCTTTTTTTCTTTAAGGCATGGTATAAATATGGGATTAATTCCCTAAGGATTTAATTTCTGTCTCGGCCAATCTTTATTAGGTAAATGTATTTACCAAGTATCATGAAAAAATATTGCTCAATGATAAACTTAGTACATTAAAGTGACTTTACCGACTGAAACAGAGATGTTGGGGTACCCAGATGCTCTACCGCCTTGCATTCCCTTGCAAAGACCGCTAATATAAAGTAAACGTGTATAATCTATTAACTGTAAAACAGTCTCTTACTTTTGTTATTGAATCTTTTATTGCTGATTCCTTTGGGATTTTCAATGATCCACTTCGTGGCATAAGGTCCACCATATGCATCAGAAGCTTCAACGTACATTTTTGTCGAAACGACATTTCCTTGTCCTTTCTGATGGATGATACGGACAGAGTTTATGGCCACGGGTTGATCAAACTCATAGCCAATGAAATCTTCGCCTGCTCCGCGATCGTACCATCCGTTAGGAAGCCAGTAGGTACTGCTTTTGTTGTCAAATGCGCTCCCGGGTTCGTAACCAAGGTAACTTGAGCTGGCGAAAGCTTTGGCGGGTTTAGTTTCAAGAGGTACCCTAGCGTGTTTGTCACTGTAGAATTTGATATTTTCTATTACCCATGATCTTGGGAGGTGTGCTTCGTTTACGACTCTCCAGAATTTGTGTCCTGTTGTAAGGAAAACGCAGTCTTAAGGTCATATTACGATAATATCTTGAGTATGAAACTAGAATTTGTACCAAAGAGGCAACGAAGATATTTTCTGGTGAAAACGTGACGCGTCAATGATATCGTGATAGTAGAGCTCGCGAAAAAATAAAATAGTGGATATTCAATTCTTATTTTGAAATAATTGGCCTGTATTCTAGTATTTTGTTGGCACTGGAAAGGGCTGATCTTACCCATGTCAGCAAGATTAACAAGCAAAATCTGATGACAATACCTGCTTCGTGGTACTCATTCAACAAACTTGTTTTTAAAAGTCATTAAGGATGCGTTCCTTTGGGATATGATCCAGATCAGGATCCATGATCCAAGATCACTCTGATCATGGTGCATCAAAGGAACCGATGAAATCACTCTGAAGAAAGATTAATCGGTTCCTTTGAGGCACGATAAATCCTTGTCAAGATCAACCCAAAGGATCCCACCCGGCCCAAGTTTGTGTCTGTACGCCGCATTGAATGATTTTCATCGTAGGATATTTTTTCATCTTAACACGTAATGATCAAGTGTTCATGAACTCACCAACGTTCTCGGATGAATCACACCAATTGCAGGAATCTTTACAGTAGTTGTACATGAAGTGGTGGTTTTCTTCGCAGAAACATGGATTCCTCGCCTTCAAGCAGAAATTGCTGGCCCTTTCATCGTCAATACAAACGCCTGTACGGGAAATGAAAATAATACCATTCATTAGAAATTAATATGTTTCTAGATTGAACTGGTGTACANGCCGGGTAGGCGTAAGCTGCCGGCGCTGGATACGACGCATAGTATGGCGCCGGCGCTGGATTGTAATTGTAACTGTAGCTTTGGGATGAAGGTTGATAAGCTGTGGATGCTTGTGCAGTATAAGGTACAGATGCCCTAGCTGGAGCGGATGCCTCCACAGGTGTGGAAGAAGCTGGAGCTGAGGCGGGTGAAGCTGCAGCAGGGGCCGAAGCTGGAGCAGCTGGGGCTGGTGCTGGTGCTGGGGAAGCAGCGGCTGGAGCTGGTGCTGGGGCTGCAGCTGCAGGAGATGCAGCGGGAGCTGTTGCCGCTTGGGCTGTTGCTGCAACACCTCCTTGGGGTGATGCTGCTGCTGCAGCTGTTGCTGACGCTGGAGAAGATGAGGATGAGGAAGCGGCGGCAGTGGCAGGGGCTGATGATGGAGATGAAGCTGGGTATGGCATCGCGGATCTGCTCTGTCCAGAGCTTCCTGAGTTGTACGCTGATACAGATGACGACATATTATGAAATCCCCTTACTCTTTTATGTTAGATTTCCTTTAGAACTTAATAGAAACATTCACAAGTGTAATGTTGCAGAATCAGGTATGCACATCATTGAAATGTCTGTAAGGAGAAGCTCGAATTAAACATCTTTTCTTCGATGAGCTTGTTAAAGTCTTAATGGCTAACAAGCTTTCGGAAAATCTGCTTCTTGAGTGCATCACATCTAGAGTAACTCGCACTAGTGAACTCGCACAACAAAAATGCGATCAGCATGGAAATATATATATATTTCTAAATTTGAAATGCCCTTATACTTGTTTTGATACTAACAAGCATCAATTACCATCGTTTAATCTTTGGGGCAGAGTGTTGTCATATCATGGTGAACCAGCCTTCTTCAGTTTAAGATTTTGGGTAAAATTTAATGTCCTTAATTACCTGCACTGTTATAAGCGGTGCCAGACTGTGCGGCGTATTGCGAGCCATAGGAAGGGTAACCTAGTGAAAAAAAATGTAGTTAACATATGGAACATTATCCATGAAAAGATCATGTTTCAGACGATTAGAACTATGACAATTTGATTTCTCTGTGAAATCCGCCTCAGATGAATTTACGACCCATTGGGTTACTGAACCATTTCAGTTATTCTCACAAGGCA